TTTTATATAGAAAAACTAAATAACGCTCTAATCGACAAAATAAAGAAAATCTGTGATCACTCATATATTCCATAAAAAATGGATTTTTATATAGAAAAACTAAAATCGGCTGTAGATCCTTAAATGACGCTCCAATCGACAAAATAAAGAAAATCTGTGATCACTCATATTTTCCATGAAAAATGGATTTTTATATAGAAAAACTAAAATCGGCTGTAGATCCTTAAATAACGCTCCAATCGACAAAATAAAGAAAATCTGTGATCACTCATATATTCCATGAAAAATGGATTTTTATATGAAAAAACTAAAATCGGCTGTAGATCCTTAAATAACGCTCCAATCGACAAAATAAAGAAAATCTGTGATCACTCATATTTTCCATGAAAAATGGATTTTTGTATAGAAAAACTAAAATCGGCTGTAGATCCTTAAATAACGCTCCAATCGACAAAATAAAGAAAATCTGTGATCACTCATATTTTCCATGAAAAATGGATTTTTATATAGAAAAACTGAAATCGGCTGCACTTCCTTAAATAACGCTCCAATCGACAAAATAAAGAAAATCTGTGATCACTCATATATTCCATGAAAAATGGATTTTTATATGAAAAAACTAAAATCGGCTGTAGATCCTTAAATAACGCTCCAATCGACAAAATAAAGAAAATCTGTGATCACTCATATTTTCCATGAAAAATGGATTTTTATATAGAAAAACTAAATAACGCTCTAATCGACAAAATAAAGAAAATCTGTGATCACTCATATATTCCATAAAAAATGGATTTTTATATAGAAAAACTAAAATCGGCTGTAGATCCTTAAATGACGCTCCAATCGACAAAATAAAGAAAATCTGTGTTCACTCATATATTCCATGAAAAATGGATTTTTATATAGAAAAACTAAAAACGGCTGCACTTCCTTAAATAACGCTCCAATCGACAAAATAAAGAAAATCTGTGATCACTCATATATTCCATGAAAAATGGATTTTTATATGAAAAAACTAAAATCGGCTGTAGATCCTTAAATAACGCTCCAATCGACAAAATAAAGAAAATCTGTGATCACTCATATTTTCCATGAAAAATGGATTTTTATATAGAAAAACTAAAATCGGCTGTAGATCCTTAAATAACGCTCCAATCGACAAAATAAAGAAAATCTGTGATCACTCATATTTTCCATGAAAAATGGATTTTTATATAGAAAAACTGAAATCGGCTGCACTTCCTTAAATAACGCTCCAATCGACAAAATAAAGAAAATCTGTGATCACTCATATATTCCATGAAAAATGGATTTTTATATGAAAAAACTAAAATCGGCTGTAGATCCTTAAATAACGCTCCAATCGACAAAATAAAGAAAATCTGTGATCACTCATATTTTCCATGAAAAATGGATTTTTATATAGAAAAACTAAATAACGCTCTAATCGACAAAATAAAGAAAATCTGTGATCACTCATATATTCCATAAAAAATGGATTTTTATATAGAAAAACTAAAATCGGCTGTAGATCCTTAAATGACGCTCCAATCGACAAAATAAAGAAAATCTGTGATCACTCATATTTTCCATGAAAAATGGATTTTTATATAGAAAAACTAAAATCGGCTGTAGATCCTTAAATAACGCTCCAATCGACAAAATAAAGAAAATCTGTGATCACTCATATATTCCATGAAAAATGGATTTTTATATAGAAAAACTAAAAACGGCTGTAGATCCTTAAATAACGCTCCAATCGACAAAATAAAGAAAATCTGTGTTCACTCATATATTCCATGAAAAATGGATTTTTATATAGAAAAACTAAAAACGGCTGCACTTCCTTAAATAACGCTCCAATCGACTAAATAAAGAAAATCTGTGATCACTCATATTTTCCGTGAAAAATGGATTTTTATATAGAAAAACTAAAAACTAAATAAAGCTCTAATCGACAAAATAAAGAAAATCTGTGATCACTCATATTTTCCATTAAAAATGGATTTTTATATGAAAAAACTAAAATCGGCAGTAGATCCTTAAATAACGCTCCAATCGACAAAATAAAGAAAATCTGTGATCACTCATATTTTCCATGAAAAATGGAATTTTATATGAAAAAACTAAAAACGGCTGTAGATCCTTAAATAACGCTCCAATCGACAAAATAAAGAAAATGTGTGATCACTCATATTTTCCATGAAAAATGGAATTTTATATGAAAAAACTAAAAACGACTGTAGATCCTTAAATAACGCTCCAATCGACAAAATAAAGAAAATCTGTGATCACTCATATTTTCCATGAAAAATGGATTTTTATATGAAAAAACTAAATCGGCTGTAGATCCTTAAATAACGCTCCAATCGACAAAATAAAGAAAATCTGTGATCACTCATATTTTCCATGAAAAATGGAATTTTATATGAAAAAACTAAAAACGACTGTAGATCCTTAAATAACGCTCCAATCGACAAAATAAAGAAAATCTGTGATCACTCATATTTTCCATGAAAAATGGAATTTTATATGAAAAAACTAAAAACGACTGTAGATCCTTAAATAACGCTCCAATCGACAAAATAAAGAAAATCTGTGATCACTCATATTTTCCATGAAAAATGGAATTTTATATGAAAAAACTAAAAACGGCTGTAGATCCTTAAATAACGCTCCAATCGACAAAATAAAGAAAATCTGTGATCACTCATATTTTCCATGAAAAATGGAATTTTATATGAAAAAACTAAAACGGCTGTAGATCCTTAAATAACGCTCCAATCGACAAAATAAAGAAAATCTGTGATCACTCATATTTTCCATGAAAAATGGATTTTTATATGAAAAAACTAAATCGGCTGTAGATCCTTAAATAACGCTCCAATCGACAAAATAAAGAAAATCTGTGATCACTCATATTTTCCGTGAAAAATGGATTTTTGTATGAAAAAACTAAAATCGGCTGTAGATCCTTAAATAACGCTCCAATCGACAAAATAAAGAAAATCTGTGATTACTCATATTTTCCATGAAAAATGGATTTTTATATGAAAAAACTAAAATCGGCAGTAGATCCTTAAATAACGCTCCAATCGACAAAATAAAGAAAATCTGTGATCACTTATATTTTCCATGAAAAATGGACTTTTATATAGAAAAACTAAAAACGGCTGTAGATCCTTAAATAACGCTCCAATCGACAAAATAAAGAAAATCTGTGATCACTCATATTTTCCATGAAAAATGGAATTTTACATGAAAAAACTAAAAACGGCTGTAGATCCTTAAATAACGCTCAAATCGACAAAATAAAGAAAATCTGTGATCACTCATATTTTCCATGAAAAATTGTATTTTATATAGAAAAACTAAAAACGGCTGTAGATCCTTAAATAACGCTCTAATCGACAAAATAAAGAAAATCTGTCATCACTCATATATTCAATGAAAAATGGACTTTTATATAGAAAAACTAAAAATGGCTGTAGATCCTTAAATAACGCTCCAATCGGCAAAATAAAGAAAATCTGTGATCACTCATATTTTCCGTGAAAAATGGAATTTTATATAGAAAACATATAAACGGCTGTAGATACTTAAATAACGCACCAATCGACAAAATAAAGAAAATCTGTGATCACTCATATTTTCCATGAAAAATGGAATTTTATATGAAACAACTAAAAATGGCTGTAGTTCCTTAAATAACGCTCCAATCGATAAAATAAAGAAAATCTGTGATCACTCATATTTTCATGAAAAATGGAATTTTATATAAAAAAACTAAAATCGGCTGTAGATCCTTAAATAACGCCCCAATCGACAAAATAAAGAAAATCTGTGATCACTCATATTTTCCATGAAAAATGGATTTTTATATAGGAAAACTAAAAACGGCTGTAGATCCTTAATAACACTCCAATCGATGAAATAAAGAAAATCTGTGATCACTCATATATTCCATGAAAAATGGACTTTTACATAGAAAAACTAAAAACGGCTGTAGATCCTTAAATATTTTCCATGAAAAATGGACTTTTATATAAAAAAACTAAAAACGGCTGTAGATCCTTAAATAACGCTCCAATCGGCAAAATAAAGAAAATCTGTGATCACTCATATTTTCCATGAAAAATGGACTTTTGTATAGAAAAACTAAAAACGGCTGTAGATCCTTAAATAACGCTCCAATCGACAAAATAAAGAAAATCTGTGATCACTCATATATTCCATGAAAAATTGTATTTTATATAGAAAAACTAAAAACGGCTGTAGATCCTTAAATAACGCTCCAATCGACAAAATAAAGAAAATCTGTGATCACTCATATTTTCCATGAAAAATGGAATTTTATATGAAAAAACTAAAAACGACTGCAGATCCTTAAATATCGCTCCAATCGACAAAATAAAGAAAATCTGTGATCACTCATATTTTCCGTGAAAAATGGAATTTTATATAGAAAACATATAAACGGCTGTAGATACTTAAATAACGCCCCAATCGACAAAATAAAGAAAATCTGGGATCACTCATATTTTCCATGAAAAATGGAATTTTATATGAAAAAACTAAAAACGACTGTAGATCCTTAAATAACGCTCCAATCGACAAATAAAGAAAATCTGTGTTCACTCATATTTTCCATGAAAAATGGAATTTTATATAGAAAAACTGTAGATCCTTAAATAACGCTCTAATCGATGAAATAAAGAAAATCTGTGATCACTCTTATATTCCATGAAAAATGGAATTTTATATAGAAAACATATAAACGGCTGTAGATACTTAAATAACGCTCCAATCGACAAAATAAAGGAAATCTGTGATCACTCATATTTCCTATAAAAAATGGATTTTTATATGAAAAAACTTAAATCGGCTGTAAATCATAAAAACAACACTCCTATTGACAAATAAAGTTTGTGGAAGTGAGATAATAAAAAGATGTATGCAAATTCAATTTTCATTCAATATTTTTATTAAATTAAGATTTAAACAGAGTTAGCAGCACTGACAACCCAGGTGCGGAGAGCAGCAACATCAGCATAGACACCAGGGTAGTTGGCAGCGGCGCAACCATAGCCCCAGGAGACAACACCAACCAAACGACCACCAGATACCAATGGGCCACCAGAGTCACCTTGGCATGAATCCTTGCCGACAGTGTAGGCACAGATCATGCTGGATTTGATTTGAGAGCCATAACCGTAAGTGGAGGAAGCACATTGAGTACGACCAACAATCTTAAGATTAACATAACGCAATTGAGCGGGAATGCTACCACCGGAAGAGGTGGTACCCCAACCAGAAACAGTAGCAGCAGCACCGTTAGCGGGAGCAGCGGTAGCCAAAGCAATAGCCTTAATGGTGGAGGACATGGTCAAGGAGGAGCTCAAACGGATGACAGCAATATCGTTAACCATGGTCTTGGGGTTGTAACCTTCGTGGTTCTTGAAAGCAGCAACAGAGACAACAACACCACCAGAGTTCCAGTAGGAAGAACCAGCACGCACTTTCAAGACAGAGGTAGAGACAGATTGCAAGCAATGGGCAGCAGTAACAATGATCTTGGAGTTGTAGACGGAACCACCGCAGGAGTGAGAACCAGAACGTTGGAGGGAAATTTGCCAGGGGAAGTTGCTGATGGTGGTAGCAACACCGCCGACAATACGACCATCCAATTGGGGTACCATACCCTCAGGTACGGCAGCGCCCAAAGCACAGGAAATAGCGCACAATAAAACGACAAACTTCAACATGTTGATTAGTGTATTAACCAACTACTGATGTTTTGAAATTAGTCTCGTACTATTTATACGATTTAGATTTATATTTTTTTTCAAGATTTCCGATTAGATTAATATTTGGTCGAGTATAGGCTGATTAAACTAACTTTCTCACTCTTTCTCCATTTCAAATTTAAGTGTTTAGGAGATAAGTATTGAAAGTAGAAATACAATAAGTTTTCGTTTAGATTAGACGAGAAGCATGAATGGAATAATTGTTAATCATTACACTAAAAGTTTTCAATAATTTTAAGTGATATTCGATAATAAAACACGCTTTACACCCAAGGCCGTAACTCCCCCTACATTTGTTTACTTTAAAGGTTCTTCACGCAATGACTTTTGAGTTTTTTTTATGCAAAAACTGCTCAAAGTTAAGAGTATTTTACTCGAAAATAGTTTTAAAATAATTATAAACATTAGTGATCACAAATTTTCTTTATTTTATCGATGGGAGCGTGCCGATTTGAGGTTTTTTAAATAAAAATAGATTTTTCAAAGAAAATATGAATGATCGCAGATTTTCTTTGTTTTGTCGATTGAAGCAATATTTAAGGATCTTCAGCCGATTTTATGTTTTTCGTATAATATATTATTTTTTCATAGAAGGTTCTACAGTCGATTTTAGCTGATTTCTCGAAAGTATACTTTTTCAATTTCTAAAATTTTGTTCATTAATCCCAACTACAACATAATTTTAATATTCTATCAACATTTTATTCAATTTGAATTTAAACGGAGTTAGCAGCACTGATAACCCAGGAACGGAGAGCAGCAACATCAGCATAGACACCAGGGTAGTTGACAGCGGCGCAACCATAGCCCCAGGAGACAACACCAGCCAAGACACCACCGGAGACCAATGGGCCACCAGAATCACCTTGGCAAGAGTCCTTGCCGACAGTGTAGGCACAAATCATGCTAGCCTTGATTTCAGAGCCATAACCATAGGTGGAAGAAGCACATTGAGTGCGGCCAACAATCTTAACGTCAACGTATCTCAATTGAGTAGGAATGCTACCACCCGAAGAGGTAGTACCCCAACCAGACACGGTAGCAGCAGCACCGTTAGCGGGAGCTGAGGAAGCCAAACCGATAGTCTTAATGGTGGAGGATGTAGTCAAGGAAGAGCTCAAACGGATGACGGCAATATCGTTAACCATGGTCCTAGAGTTGTAACCTTCATGATTCTTGAAAGCAGCAACACTGACCAAAACACCACCGGAATTCCAGTAGGAAGAGCCAGCACGTACTTTCAAGATAGAGGCAGATACGGATTGCAAGCAATGGGCAGCAGTAACAATGATCTTGGAGCTGTAGATGGAGCCACCACAAGAGTGAGAACCTGAACGTTGGAGAGAAATTTGCCAGGGGAAGGACGAAATGGTGGTAGCAGCACCGCCCACAATGCGTCCATCCAATTGGGGGAGCATACCCTCAGGCACAGCAGCACCCAAAACACAGGCAACAGCGCTTAACAAAACGACTAACTTCAACATGTTGATTGATCGATATTAATCAACTACTGAAATTTTCCTTGTACTCCAGCCCTTTTTATATCAGTTAGTTCCCCGATTTTCTATTCTTTTGATAAGTGTTAGATTTCTAATTCATATGTCTTTTACACAAGTAATGTAAGTGCTTACTTAAGAGATTTAAAATAATGACAGTTACAAATTTTGATTAGATTACAGCGGCAGCAGCACTGTATTCAAAATATTAATGTCTTTTAAGGTTTGTATATGAAATATCTTGGTCACAAACCAATATTTTCTTTACTAATGAATGAAATGCTTATGATCTGGCGATAATTTCCTTAAACTAATGCAAATACTAATTGGATTTGATAATTTTTAAAAGGTTTTGGAATATTGTAGTTTTTATTCAAAAATTTATTTTTTAAAGAAACGAGATTTTTAATATTTGTTTTAAAATAAGTTTAGGAACCAATTTAAACAGTTGTAGACGCACTGACCACCCAAGAGTGTAAAGCAGCAACATCAGCATAAACACCAGGATAGTTAGGGAAAGCACAGCCATAACCCCAGGAAACAACACCAACCAACTGACCACCAGAAACCAAGGGACCACCCGAATCACCTTGACAAGAATCCTTACCAACAGTGTAAGCACAAATCATGCTAGACTTGATCATGGAACCATAACTATAATTGGAAGAAGCACACTGAGTACGGCTGACAATTTTGACATCAATGTAACGCAATTGAGTGGGTAAAGAGGCAGAACCAGAGGCAGTAGTACCCCAGCCCGACACCGAAGCAGCAGCACCATTAGCAGGAGCTTTTGTAGTTAAAGCAATGGGCTTAATGGTAGAAGACAAGGTCAACGGGGAGCTCAAACGTATGACGGCTATGTCATTGATTTTAGTGCTGGGATTGTAACCTTCATGATTCTTAAAAGCAGCAACATTAACCAATACACCACCAGAATTCCAGAAAGAAGAGCCAGCACGTACTTTCAAAATAGTTGGACTGACAGATTGCAAACAGTGAGCAGCGGTCACAATGATGTGATTATTATAGATGGAGCCACCGCAAGAGTGAGAACCTGAACGTTGAAGAGAGATTTGCCAGGGGAAAGAGGAGATGGAAGTAGCAACTCCCCCCACTATGCGACCATCCAATTGAGGCAGCATACCCTCAGGCACAGCCGCACCCAAGCAGCAAGCGACAGATGACAATAAAATCACAAACTTTAACATGTTTTCAGTGATCTCCAACGAACTACTGGTGTATTTCTGAACTATAAGTTCTTTTTATATATTTTTAGTTGATACTCAACACTTTATCGTCTTAAGTTTTTTTTTTCATAATGATCAATCTTCATTGATATTAAACATTCTACTATTATAGTAAGAAACATAATTTTGATAAGATTATGTTGGAAATTTTAATCTATAGGTTCATAGGAAGTGAAATCACTTTTTTAGCAATCTTAACTATTCGGGATTTTACGCAAAAATTGTTGCAACAATGTTAAGATAAGCCAATTTCATATAGTAAACTCACCACCCTAGATAAATCAATTTATACTGAGTCAATAACAAATTTTTATTAAAATTGGTTCAAGTTTTTATTCGAGATCTTTTTCAAACAGTTTCAGCAGCACTAACAACCCAAGAGCGCAGAGCAGCTACATCAGCATAGACACCAGGATAGTTACCAAAAGCACAGCCATAACCCCAGGAAACGACACCAACCAATTGACCACCAGAAACCATAGGACCACCAGAATCACCTTGGCAGGAATCCTTACCCTTAGTAAAGGCACAAATCATACTGGCTCTAATGGCAGAGCCATAACCATAAGTGGAAGAGGAACATTCAGCACGGCTAACAATCTTAACATCAATTGACCTCAATTGCGAGGGCAGAGATGGAGACCCCGAGGCAGTAGTACCCCAACCCGAAACAGAAGCAGCAGCACCATTAGCTGGAGCCACAGAAGCCAAAGGAATAGGCTTAATGGTGGAAGAAAAAGTCAAAGGAGAACTCAAACGTATTACGGCAATATCATTAACCATGGTATTGGGATTGTAGCTTTCATGATTCTTGAAAGCAGCAACATTAAGCAAAACACCACCAGAAATCCAGAAAGTAGAACCAGCACGAACTTTCATAACAGAGATATTAACCGATTGTAAACAGTGAGCAGCAGTCACTACGATTTGGTTGCTATAAACGGAACCGCCGCAGGAATGAGAACCTGAACGTTGGAGAGAAATTTGCCAGGGAAACGAGCTAATAGAGACAGGATTACCACCCACTATGCGGCCATCCAATTGAGGCAGCAAACCCTCAGGCACGGCAGCACCCAAAGCACACGCAATCACGGATAATAGAACTATAAACTTTAACATGTTGACACCGGGATCTAACAAACTACTGTTATATCTAGACATTAACATTACTTTTTATAGAGAATGGTCTCTATAGGATTTCTTTAGTTTTCTTGATTAATCATTATAATCGCTGTAAGACATTAATTATGATTAGATTATTTTGGGGTTTTCATGAGATAAAACATAATCTAAGTAATTATTTCAGGAAAAACCATGTCTATTTTACCCCAAACATTATATTTTTATTGTAAACAAATGTCGATTTCTATCAAAACCTAAATAATGATCGTGTGAATTTGTTTTTGACACGACTTTTAATCAGTAAATAAGAGCTGTTTGTGTTAACCAACTTATTAATATGGTATGGAATCAGTGGGTCTTTTACTCTTTCACTATTCAGTAGCTCAATTTCTTACCGATCGTATTAGTAGTAGTTTTTTCGGTCGATTGTTAATAAATTTTCAAAAATACCGAATGAAAAGATAGTTCTTAACAAAGTGCCCAATGTCTTTACAATTTCCACGTTCCGTTGAGTTTGTTATTAAAGGTCAAAGGTCACCATTAAGTAAGCATACATGTAAGTATTAGGATTTTCAAAAAACGATGCAGATATTATGATATACTTATAATGAACGTTCCCTGTCATTTCTGGTAATATTCAATATGTTTTGATGTATTTCTGATTATGAACTACAAAAGTCTATTTTCCAAAATCTGATCCTAAATTAGTAATAAAACCACATAATGTTTCAACAACACCTACCAACACACCACCCGAAACTAAGGGACCACCCGAATCACCTTGACAAGAATCCTTACCCACAGTGTAAGCACAAATCATGCTCGTCTTAATATCCGAACCATAACCATAAGTGGAAGAGGCACATTGGGTACGACTAAGAATTTTAACCTCAACATAACGTAATTCTGTGGGTAAAGAAGCAGAACCAGAGGCAGTAGTACCCCAGCCGGAAACAGTAGCAGCAGCACCATTAGCAGGAGCTGAAGAAGCCAAGGCAATAGGCTTAATGGTGGAAGACATAGTCAAGGAGGAACTCAAACGTATCACTGCAATATCATTAATCATGGTCTCGGGATCATAACCCTCATGATTCTTAAATTCATTAACACTCAGCAAAACACCGCCAGAATTCCAGAAAGAAGAACCAGCTCTTACTTTCAACACCGTGGTGGAAACAGATTGCAAACAGTGAGCAGCAGTCACTATGATTTGGTTGTTATAGATAGAACCACCACAGGAATGAGATCCAGAACGTTGAAGAGAAATTTGCCAGGGGAAAGAAGATATGGTGGTAGCAGCACCTCCCACAATACAACCATCCAATTGAGGCAATAGACCCTCAGGCACAGCAGCACCCAAAGTGCAAGCTATAGACGTTAATAGAAGGAACAACTTTAACATATTGCGCAAGATATAAATATAGACTATTGGGACTTGGTCAGTACTTTTAGTTTATATACTAAAGACATTTTTATTATAGTTGGTATAAATGTTTACAAAAATCTTACTTTTAATAGTTTTATAGATCCTTTGTGCAGATATTTATAAATATTTGATAAGAAATGTGTGTATTAGTTATTTTCGCAAAGAAATTCAATTTTGATAAGATTATTAAGGGGAATCGGTAGAATACTCTTTATATATATGATTAATAAGATTCAGTCTGTCAGTAATTTGATTCCCATAAGAAGCTAATAGATCATACTTTTTAAAACGTAAGTTTTTAAGTTTCTAATTATGTTTTAAATTTTTGTTATTGAAACTAATTTTAAATGGGGTTTATATCAATTATTAATTACATACATAGGTCGTATTATTGACATTTAATTTAATCAATTAAAAAGTGTCATTGAAAACGTTCGTGTTCTTGTGCGATCATTCAACAATGACGCATTTTACTTTTGAAACTGTTATTTTAATCTTTTACAACTCGTGTTGGTAAGTATTTAACAATCTTTGTAAAACAATCAAATTTATTACCGATCATAAATTAATGTAATAATCGTATATAGTTATAAATTATGATTTATTTAATAAATAAACGATTTGTGATATCAATTGCTTTGATTTGATTTATTTGCTTCAACTGAGGTATGTAATAACAACATTGTAAGATCGTTACAATGTCAATAGATTTGGTAGCTATTACTTGACTAATTTGATTAGTTTTTATTTGTTTAGGATTCGATCGTTATCATAATGATTAGATGATAGATCCTAAATGTCGGAAGAAAAATTATAACGAATTTGAAATTATAGAAACTGATGTCCTCTTCCTCATGTCAAACAAAATCTTAGTCTTAAGCGAATAAAAAGAAGGCTACAGCTGCTTTGATTATTCTAAAGACGAATCCATAGACTAATTAATAGAATAGTCCATTTACTAGTCCATAGATAAGAAAATATACTAGACAACAAACTGGTCCACAAACTAGTCAAGAGACTAGTTGGTAAAATAGTTAAGAGAATGGTAAAGACAATAATCAATTGTATATAATCAAAAAACAAGCCCATAGACTAGTTCAAAGATTAGTCAATATACTAGCCCATACACAGAGGGAAAAAGAAATATACACTCCTGGTACCAAATTGACACCAAAGAGTTTTTAATGTTTCAATAACAACCGTTGTTAAAGTATATACATACGTACGACAACACTATGTCGCAACGTTGTCAACATTGCAACAATTCGTTGTCGAAAACTAAATTTAATACACATCCATTGTCTTAATGTTAACAAACGTGCTAAGCTCACTATTGGCAACGGATTGTTTGTCAATAGTGAGCTTACCACGTTTGTTAACATTAAGACAACGAATGTGTATAAAATTTAGATTTCGACAAAGAATTGTTGCAATGTTGACAACGTTGCGACATAGTGTTGTCGTACGTATGTATATACCTTGACAACGGTTGTTATCGAAAAATTATAAACAGTTTGGTGTCAATTTGGTACAAGGCGTGTATATTACTTTTTCTCTCTGTGTAGACTAAACCATATTTAAAGCAAACTCTAAAATTTTAACTAATCGGTAGAAAATTTTTATTTAAATTAAACGGATAAAGCATTTTTGGTAACCCAGGTGCGTAGAACAGCAACATCAGCATAGACACCGGGGTAATTGTCGTAAGCGCAACCGTAACCCCAAGAGACAACACCAGCCAGAACACCACCCGAAACCAAGGGGCCACCAGAATCACCTTGGCAAGAGTCCTTGCCCACAGTATAAGCACACATCATGGTATACTTGATCTCAGCGCCATAACCATAGGTGGAAGACGAACATTGAGCGCGATCAAGAATCTTGAGATCAACATAACGCAATTGAGCAGGAATATTACCACCCGAAGAGGTAGTACCCCAACCAGACACAGTAGCAGCGGCACCAGTGGGTGGAGTAGTGGTAGCCAAAGCAATAGCCTTAATGGTGGAAGACATGGACAAAGAAGAGCTCAAACGGATGACAGCAATATCGTTGACCATGGTCTTATAGTTGTAACCCTCATGAGTCTTGAAATTGGCCACACTAACCAAGATGCCACCAGAATTCCAGTAGGAAGAACCAGCACGTACTTTCAATACCGAAGTGGAGACGGACTGCAAACAGTGAGCAGCTGTCACTATAATTTTAGAGTTATAGATGGAACCACCGCATGAATGAGAACCCGAACGTTGAAGTGAAATTTGCCAGGGGAAAGAGGAAATAGTGGTGGCCTCACCACCCACTATACGTCCATCCAATTGAGGTAGCAAACCCTCAGGCACGGCAGCACCTAAAGCACAGGCTATAGACGCTAATAGAATTACCAATTTCAACATGTTATTGCTGGGGTATAGAGACCAACTACTGAAATTTTGATTCAAAACACTGAATATTTATAAGAATTGCAAGTGTTTGAGGAATTAAAAGTGTTCATGGGATTAGATAAGATTTAAACAAAAAAGACATCTTGCTTAAGAATCTTTAGTATTAATTTTAGCAAAATACTAAAACTAATTAAAACTTAACGATAAGATTATGGTTTATTATGGAATGTTTTATTGCAAGTTCAAATATTTAGTTATTTTTTTTATTAAATAATTCTATAGAAAGTTTTAATAAACTCTTAACTTTAAGGGCCAATCTTTAGGTGAAAGATTAGCGATTAAATTAAAATTAATCCTCGAAAGATGTTTTTAAGTACTCAATTAGTTAATTTTGTTTGCAAGTTTAAGCGCCCAATGGAGGTGGTTTAATCTTAAGCACGAAATGCAAAAGTGTAAACAGCTGATGCAAAAAAATTAATAAAATTTTTATAAATATAAACATTAAAATGTTCTATTTATTGATTAGTATAAATTATGGACACTTCAAAATACATTTTTTGTTTTTAATTTAAGTTTTCATATTAAATTTACAATTGTCTTCTTCTTTTTTATAAAATATGCATTGTTTTGATAACAAACAGTGACGTTTTCTGTTGTTTTCTATGGCAACACTGCGAAGTTTAATCTTGTACTCAAAAACATCAAAGGGGATTAACATAAGATTAAATTTATTTTTAGATTAACTAATCTGATTATTAATTGGCATTTGATTACCATTTCAAAAACCGCTCTAAATTGTTCTATTTACTGATTAGTATAAATTATGGACACTTCAAAATATATTTTTTTGTTTTTAATTTAAGTTTTCATTAATTTTCATATTAAATTTACAATTGTCTTCTTCTTTTTTATAAAATATGCATTGTTTTGATAACAAACAGTGACATTTTCTGTTGTTTTGTATGGCAACACTGCGAAGTTTAATCTTAAGATTAAATTTATTTTTAGATTAACTAATCTGATTATTAATTGGCATTTGATTACCATCTCAAAAACCCGCTCTAAGAGCAACAATTCACAATAACTTATAGAACAAATATTGCATCAACATTTGTTTTATAAACATTTGATAACTGTTTATGAATACGGCAACAAGTTATTAGAAATTAAATAAAAACAATAACAAAACAATTACAGACATATCGAGGGACTATATTCAATAGTCGCTATGTGTCATTTTTATGAAAATGAGATTTTGATGGCAAAATATTCAGCAAACTATCGCGCATCAGTGATATAAATTTCAAAGAAAAAAAATATTTTTTGGCAATTTTATAGCATTTTTTAAATTTCTCTATCTTAAAAAAAAAAAAATTCTGAATGCAAAACTCTCTATCTTATCCAAAAATTGCTTCAAACTCGATCCCTTTGGATAATTTTATGTTGCAAAACAAGTCTTCTTAATAATTTGGACATGCCGAACACAAATCCGTCAAAATATTTAAAATCGCTCTAATAGTTTTTGAGATATCGCTCATTATGATACTAATTAAATCAATTTTATTGTCGTGTTTAACCATATAACATTGATTTTGGACCAAAACATTATAATCTGTTGCTTTTTCAACAATTTGGTTTCTTTTCCTCCATTAAATTGTATAAAATATATTTATTGATTTTAATTCAAATAAAAATTTTATGTTTCCATGAAATACTCTCTATCTGTTGGTTGAATGAACATTTTCGTAGAAAAATAAGCTCTATCTGATATAAATTTGTGAATAATTTTGTAAATAATGCAAAAATTAAAATTCTTTTTATATAATGGTTTAGAATATGGTCGTAAAAATATATTGTAAAAAATCTTCACGAACTAGCGAAATAAACAGTTTTTTTGCTCTCCTGAAAACTTGTATTATTTTAGATAGAGACTATTGAATATAGTCCCTCGATATGTATAATTCGGTCTGTTACACATTCCAATCGGAATACTTTCAATTCAAAAATAGTTTGCTAATTTTATTTTTACAATTTTAAATTAACTCTTAACAAGTTTTCAATGATGTTTTTTATTAAAATTTTAAGAAAATTTAATAATAGTTTTATGACAGGGCGGAATATTAAGAAGAAAATTGAAAATCTATTAAGTTCATCATTTATTCTTCACTTTCTCTTGCCGCTGAGTTCCATAAACGATTTTTAGTTTTTGGATTCATTTTATCTTGTCTTGTTATGGGTTTCAAATGGGCAGCATCCACTATATCTCTAAAATTGTAAAAAAATTAATTATGTTGTGCCAAATATCCCATTTTAAACTTACTTAAATTCATCATAACTTGTGGTATTGTTAACCGCCCTAAGTTTAGCATCATTTCTTAAAGTATGTAATTGCCCCGTTCTTAAAGTTTCCAAACACATTTCCTGCAACCTCTGTAATTCCTCAGCGGTTATTTTAGCTTCAATATTTGTGGAGAACATTTTTGTAACACAAATTGTTTAATTAAATTTTGAAATTTTTGCTGATTTTCAAATAAACAACTAACGATTATGATTGCCTATAGCAACCGAGAAAAGTTTTAAGGTTGCCAGACTTTCATATACATATAGTAGCGTTGAAACTCATTTACCCAATTCACTATCGATCGTATGTCATAAAAGTTTTTCAAAAATACGACATGCCACCATACAACACCGATTGTGAATTGGAGTTCTTTCACAAATCACTTAATTTACCCACAAATTTGTGGCCAAAACTTCACTATTGAGATTTTTACTTTGAGTTATTTTAATGAATAACTTAATTTCCAATTAGATTTACGCAATAGCAAATTTGACAAGTCGAATTATGATAAATTTATACTCAAAATCTTATCAAAGTCTTCCCTGTACTTCTTTTAGTATAAAGAATATTTATTTTTTTTAACAATCTTATCTACTAATTTGAATTATTAGCAAAATAAGTCTATTGCATATTGTTACACTTTTTGTATAAATAGCTTGTAATATTAAACAAATTTCCATAGTAGTTTTTACACTTCAACATGTTGAAATTTGTCATATTATTATCGGCTATAGCCTGTGCTTTGGGTGCCGCCATACCCGAGGGCATGGTGCCTGAGTTAGATGGTCGTATAGTGGGTGGTGTTGCTACCACCATTAGCTCTTATCCTTGGCAAATTTCTCTACAACGTAGTGGATCTCATTCTTGTGGTGGCTCCATCTATAACTCCAAAATCATTGTAACTGCTGCTCACTGTTTGCAATCTGTCTCTGCCTCGGTATTGAAAGTTAGAGCTGGTTCTTCATACTGGAATTCTGGTGGCGTTTTGGTTAGTGTTGCTGCCTTTAAGAATCATGAAGGTTACAATCCCAGCACTAAAGTTAACGATATTGCCGTCATCCGTTTGAGCTCTTCTTTGACCATGTCCTCCACTATTAAGGCTATTGCTTTGGCTTCATCTGCACCTGCTAACGGCGCTGCTGCTGTAGTTTCTGGTTGGGGTACCACCTCTTCGGGTGGCAGCATTCCTGCTCAATTGCGTTATGTCAATCTTAAGATTGTCGGCCGCACACAATGTGCTTCTTCCACTTATGGTTATGGCTCTCAAATCAAGTCCAGCATGATCTGTGCCTACACTGTTGGCAAGGATTCGTGTCAAGGTGATTCTGGTGGCCCATTGGTCTCGGGTGGTGTTTTGGTTGGTGTTGTTTCTTGGGGTTATGGTTGTGCTTACACCAATTATCCTGGTGTCTATGCTGATGTTGCTGCTCTACGTTCCTGGGTTGTCAGTGCTGCTAACTCTGTTTAAAACCGTTTGAAAATAAAGATTTTTGAAATGAATTTTTAAAACACAAAAAGCGTTTTTAATTTTTTGTTATTCCCATTTTCATCAAAACAATACTTTTTCACAAAATCTTAAAATTCCATGGAATTTCAAGTAAAAAACTAACTAACTAAATAAGAAATTGAATTTAATAAAACACAAAACTTAAATAACAAATAAATTAAAATAAAAATTTATTTTCCAACGCCCCCCAGGTGGAATCGAACCACTTCGACGTTAATCGACTACAGGTTTGAAGCCTGCACCCCGGACCACCGAAGTTCAGTGGGGCAACAAAAACTATTGAACGCTTGGTATTTAACTTACACTTGAAATAAAAAAGAATATGGGAATTTTAACACAACAAAAGCAATTGCAAAAAACACACCAAACTAACCTTAACACGCTAATAGCAAAGCATATGTTAAGGCGCTAGAAAAAACAAACCCACCACTATTATAAATAAAACAAATCACAATTTTACTGTTAAGAAAAATAGTTAAAAATAGTTTTTAAAAAACCTTTTTGTGTGTATTTAAAAAACTCTAAGTGGAAACATTGAAAAAATGCAATTTTTAATAAAACAGAGAAAAAAGCTAAAAAGACACAAAACAATAATGATAAGAAAAAAATGTAATATTTTTATATATTAAGAAATAATATAAAAAAGGGAATGTAAGTATTACTTATATAAATGACTTGTTTCCAAAACATCTAAGCAAACAAAAAGCAAAATAAAAAAAAGAGAAGTTTAACTTCTTAAAGTAGGATACTAATAGAAAAGGACCCAATGACCAGCCATGATGACCAGCAACTTAAGTACTCATCATAACCATAGGCAGTTCATTTGCGAGGTTGTTGTATGTTGATTTGGGGCTTGGTAGCAACATGTGCTGGTGGCTTGGGATGATGAGCCACCTGGGCTGCTTGAGGCGTATAGTCTGAATTGCCCTTAACAGGGGCACCACTCACCGACATGGCATTCACATTAACAGGTTGCTGGAAAGAGAAATATTACTGTTATTGCTTAAAAACGAGTTTGGTAAAGAAAAAAACTTACAGTTAGACCGGTGCAATCTTCGGCATCTTTAGCAGGACGTTCCGCATTGGGTGTTTTATGTTGGACAATACGCATGCCACCAGCCTTAACTGAAAATACATATAAAAAAGTTAACTTTCCCTCTAAAAAATTCCCAAACACTTTGTATGACGCTACATGATTTTAATAAGTCAATAACAAACAATTTCAAGGTCAACTTTAATTATCAAGTCATTTTTTATAAGAAAAAAAAAAAACAAACATTAAAAAACAAAATATGTTTGTTTCTTTTAATGCGCATTTAATTTTCTTGTCTACAGAATGAAAAAAAAACAACAACATGTTTGCTTACCTGCCGGTGGATGTCCAGCCAATAAATTAGGTTGTTGTTCATCAGCCATTTTCGTTTTTTTATTTGTAAAAAATTCTGAAATATTTAGCAACATAAAATGAGTAATTTATTAGCAATGTTTTAATTTTTTTTAAACAAAGTTGTACTTACCTTTTTTAAAAAAGTTTGCTATTTTTTACTTTTTTGATAATTTTTTATCGCGTTTATTTGTGACACGACTGCAGTTTCAGTAGCTATTATCTGTTTTTAGAATATATTTTTTGGGTTCTATTCTTTCAGATTGTTGTATTTGTCGCTGTTTCCTTTTTGCTTTTATTTACAGTATTTATTTGTTGTTGTTTTTTTGTTCTTTATCGCAATTTTGTTTTGCGCATTGAATCAAGTAAATGCAATTGAAAACAAAAAGCAACAGAGTTGTATTTGCACTTTAACACAAAAACGGAAAAGACTTTTATATTAAAACATAAGTTATAAAATTAATATTACCGCATATTTAGGGTTTTACATCAATTCCGAAGAAATACACCTAAGCCGCCTACTTTATAAGGTTTATCGGAAATTTTTGTTTTACATTAACCTTATGTTTTTACATACCGTTTAAGGCCTAAACACTACTGTGAATGAATACAAATAATTTACTGAACAGCTGACACCCATCAATGACATTTTAATTTTGACAGAGCAAAAAACAATTACACTTTTCAGATTAATTTTAATAAACATTATTAAATAAACGCTACAAATAATTGCACATTCATGCAAACATAGCTAAATAATTAAAAAAAATTAAAATAACATTACTAACACAAACTCATTTCACTAATAAGACAAAACAACAATAAAAACATGAAGGATGCAAAGGTAATAGTAACAAAACAAAAACGGAACTCGAGAAAAATGCAAATTAATTCAAAGAAAAATTACATCATATAAAATAAACCCATAACATGTTTAAAATCTTGCAATTAAGTTTTATTGCTTTTGTAATTAATTTAGTAAACTGTGAATATTTTAATTTTTCCAAACAGAATTTTCCGGCTTTAAAAAATGATAATTTGTTGAGAGCGGCACGTGGTGAAGCGGTTGACCGTGTTCCGGTCTGGGTAATGAGACAAGCCGGCCGCTATTTACCTGAGTTTCAAGAAGTGCGCAAGCAACATGATTTCTTTACTATATGTAGAACACCTGAGTTGGCTTGTGAGGTTACTATGCAACCTTTAAGAAGATTTGATTTGGATGCTTCCATTATCTTCTCAGATATTTTAGTAATACCCCAGGCTTTGGGTATGACTGTGGAAATGCATCCTGGAGTGGTAAAATCTTTATAATAAACCTACTTTTATATAATTTTTTATAATCTAAATTCCTAGGGCCCCGTTTTTCCTGAACCTTTACAAACTCCTGCCGATTTATCAAAATTAACCCCTGAAGGAGCCGTTAGCCGATTAACTTATGTGGGAGAAGCTATAACTATGATGAGACACAAATTAGAGGGCAAAGTTCCTCTAATAGGTTTTACTGGTGCACCTGTAAGTCAACAATAGAAACAATTTTGTTTTGTCTCATAATAAATTGATTTCTTTTTTTTCCTAGTGGACTCTTATGGGCTATATGATCGAAGGTGGTGGCAGTAAAACCATGTCCAAAGCTAAATTTTGGCTTTCAGACTATCCCGAAGATGCTAAGAAACTTCTGGAAATGCTTACTGCCTCTATAGTAGACTATTTGGAAATGCAAGTTAAGGCTGGAGCCCAGTTATTGCAAATTTTTGAATCTTCTGCCGAACATTTGCCTAAAGAAGACTTTTTGAAATGGTGTGTACCTTATATCAAGGAAATCAATGATAAATTGAAACAACGTTTGACGGAACAAGGCATACCTTTAGTGCCCATGGTAATATTAATTAAAACACAAATATTACACTTACCTTAAGTCTTGAATTTAAAATGTTCTTGCTTATTTGATGCGTTTGGCTAATTAATTTTCTTGTTTATTATTGTAGACAATATTCGCCAAGGGTGCGGGACATTCCTTAGCCGAACAAGCCCAACTGGGTTATGAAGTTATAGGTCTCGATTGGACGGTTGACCCTGAAGAGGCCCGCAAACTAGTAGGACCCAATATTACCCTTCAGGGTAATTTAGATCCTCAGGATATGTATAAAACACCCGAAGAAATACGTGAATTGACTACTACTATGGTGCGTAAATTTGGTAAAACTCGTTACATAGCCAATTTGGGTCATGGCATAACGCCTCAAACACCTATTGTTAGTATGGAGACATTAGTAGATGCTGTCCACAAAGCCTTATAGATTAAGTTGCATTTCTTTTTTAATAAACTTTATATGGTAATGGTTTGTTAATTTATTAGTTTTTATAAGTTTTTTATTGCACTTCCAATGAATTAGGGGTTTCTCTAATAACTTGGTCATATAACATAAACGAAGAACCAATACAGACTAATAAAGTGCCCACAATAATATCTGAAAATATATAAAATATATTCAAAATATATAAAACTGAGTTTTATACATAATTTAGTTTATAACACAGACGGTAGGTTAGTCTTTAGTGCAGATTATTTTGTTAAGTCTGAAGTTCTCACCAATGTCCAGTCAATAATGAAGACTATAATACAGTATGTAATGCAGACTATAGTAAGTCTTACCCAGTCCACCGTTTAAACTATTATTTACTCACTTTTACCCGGTATCTTTTCACCCAACATATAACCCGTTATCGCAGTAAATGCAAATGTCAAGGAATTGGCCACCGGAACAGCCACTGTTATGTTGCACGTTTGTAAAGTCCAAACATACAAGACACTGCCGGACTGATTTAATAAGAAAGGTATCCAATACTTTAGGCGCCAAACTATAGTTTTCATTTCAAGCCAAAGATTTTTGGCGGAAGAACCGGTATTTATTTTTTCTATACCCTGACTGCCCAATTTTATAAAAGGATTAGTGCAACCCCATAATAGGCCTACCGCCAGCAAGGATACTAAAATGACCACAATTTAAAATATATTTTTAGAATTTTTCAATTAAACTTACAAATGTTAAAGAACATTTTTCAATAACTTCAATTAATGAAACTAATACAGGGTTGGATAATTGTAATAAACTAAATGTCAAGTTGGTACTATTGTGATTTGCAAAATATAACGGTCAAGAAAATAAACACACACATTTTTGTAATAAGAATTAGAATTAAGTGAAAGTATGAATTTTAAAAGATATTTTAAACATTATGAAGCTTTTGGATATTCAATACAAATAATTTAATAAAGAAAAAGTTTCTACACCTATTTCAATAAGTTGCCATTTTAATTATAAATATATAATATATAAACATAATTATTGTGAATAATTAAATAAATCTTTATATATAAATTGTTTTTATAAAAAATAGTATTATTTATTTAACAAAACCATTAATTTCAATAAATATTTACGATATTTTTTAACAAAAATTAAATTTTGTGTTAATTTCACTAAAAACATTTTGACACAAAAACCAAACACTTCCGAAAAGTTGTTAGTAATTTTTGACAAACGTCAAAACTGAGATGGCGTTGACGTTTGACAGTTCTCCCTTTCTTTTACGTCAGGCTTTCATTTCCGATAGGTTGGTTTTTAATAATTTTTTTTTAAATAAATCCAAAAACATCTAAAAAATCCTAAAATAATTAACAAAATGATAACTAAAATCAAGTGTAGTTTGTGTTTATATAAAAATATACCCAAAAATTGTAATAGTTTAAAAAAATCGCAAAGAAAAATAAAAATATGCCAACAACCAAAAAAGTTATATTGAAATTTGTGCAATAACTAAAAGAATACATTTCCTTGTACTTTTTAGGACTTTGAATAGCAGATAAGCTTTTTCACAAACAAGAAAAATGGCCAAAACAAAGGGTGAAAAACGTAACAAGTCCGCCATCAATGAAGTGGTAACCCGCGAGTGCACCATTCACTTGGCCAAGCGTGTCCACAACATCGGCTTCAAGAAGCGTGCTCCCCGTGCTATCAAGGAAATCCGTAAATTTGCCGAAAAGGAAATGGGTACCAATGATGTCAGAATCGACACCCGTTTGAACAAGCACATCTGGTCCAAGGGTATCAGGTTAGTTATATACTAGTGTATAACGCTATTGTTTACATTTCGTTTGTTTTCTATTTATGAAATTTATTTCATGTTTTCTTTTTGTTATTTTTAGATCCACTCCCTTCCGTGTGCGCGTACGTTTGGCTCGCCGTCGTAATGACGATGAAGATTCACCCAACAAATTGTACACTTTGGTAACTTATGTTCCCGTCGCCACCTTCAAGAACATGCAAACCGAAAATGTTGAATCCAACGATGATTAAATTCTACGTTAGACGTATGTTGTCCCTCAACCAAATTATGTGATTATTGCCTAAAAGGGCAATATGTTTTTTTTTTTTGGTGGGACAATGTTTAAGATGATTATCAGTTGTTTGTTCTAAAACGGACTTAGGTTTAAATAAACTAAATATCCAATTCTATTTGGATAGCAAGAAAAAAAATAAAGTTTTTATTTTATACACAAATGCTGGTTTTGTAGTGTTATTGTTGATGTAATGAAATTTGTGTGGTCGTTTTTAGATTTTGGATTAACTGGTTGATGGAATGAAATTTGTGCGGTCGTTTTTAGATTTTGGATTAACTGAAGTGAAGTGATTGAAAAATGGACTTAAGAAAATGTAAACAATAAATGAAAACATACTACAAACTTGATTGTGTAAATTCTAATGCAAATCAATTGTAGATGTTGGTGATAATGTTGAAAAATCATGTTTTGAATGATAACTTCGAGGGGACTATTGTGACAGTAGATTTCTCCAGAATCCATTTTAGTGCTTGTTGATAAATTCCGAATTAGATTTTTATTGAAGAAAATAAATTATTTTTTGATTTTTAGTTCACTCTATAATCTAGTCGGGATAATACTCTAGTCTTTAGTCCACACTATAGTTTAGTTCGGAATATGGTTGGGTTTATATTTAAAATTAGTTTGTTTATAATCCGGAATATGGTCTTTAACCGAGGCTGAAGTTTAGTTAACTGTCCAAACTAAAGTGTGAACTATAGTTTAGTCTACACTATAGTATCGTTCCAGACTATAGTTAAGTTTTGAAATTATATTTTTGAATGCGATTTATAATTAAATTTTATTTACAGTGTAAATTTACATACAAAAAAATTTTAGATTTAACATTTACAAACCTAATAATTAAAATTTACTTTAATAATTTTATAGAATTCTCTTTATATCTATATCCATTAAAGTAACTTTATGTGGACTTATTAAAGACACAAAATGTTGTTCTTTGGAATACAATTGCAATACATTAAAATTTATAACATCTTCCGGCAATATAGATTCTGTTAAAACTTCTTGAAAACCTTTTACACCTTGATATTGATAAATTAAATAAGGTTTAATAGGCGACTCCGTTAAAATGCTCAAAAGTAAATCTTGTGACTTTTCTATATAGAAAAATTTTAATTTTAAAGCTGGAGAACATTCTAAAGACTGCAACAGCTTAAAATGGCTAGAATTTACCGACCTAATAAAGAAAATAAAATGAAAATATGAAAGTTTTTGAGAAATTTAAAAACTTACCTATAAATTTGCACAAAGCCTTGATTAAGGGAATCGGCAGGACTGTTACTTAAAACAGCCAGAAATTGATAAGGTTTAAAGCTAACAAAAGCCATTTGTGAGGGATAGTTTATAGGCAATTTTTGCAAGATTTTATGGGAGTTTGAAGTGATATCATAAACTAATAACGAGTTATTAAAAAGCAAAGCCAACGAACTTTCATTTAATAATAAAATCTAGAATTTAAACAGAGAATTAATAAAATTAAGTTGTTTGCAAAAAATTAACAAATCTACTAACCTGTTTTGGTTTGGGCGGGAAATTGTTGATTTTAGCTAGATGTTGGGAATTTAAACAAAAAATTTGTAATTCCATAGAAATGTTTAAAATATTTGGATATAAAACACAGTCTTGGTTTAAAAATTCAAAATAATTATTAAGTTTACGGGAGTTAAATAGAACGTCTTGTACATTTTTAAGATCTTGCTGCAAAAATTGTTTTAATTGTTGAACATTTACTGGTTGCGGGAATCTTTCAAATCTTTTTTGTAAGATTTTCAAGGAATTAGGATCAAAAGGAAGCCAATTATAAACTAAAAATAAAAAAAAATTAAATATTTTTAACGTTAAATTAATTATTTTAAAGTTTTGTTTTGTAAATATGGCAGCATAAACAATTTGACATTTCTGTTTATAAATTGTGATAAGGAGTTTTGTTTACGATTCTATAATTAAAATTTGCAAAGTATTAATAAAGAAAAAATGTTCAGAACTTTTAATTATATACTTAACTTAATATTAATTATATATTTTAACCAAATTCAAGCGGAAACAAAACTTCCTTTGGTTATCAATACTTGGGCTTTCGAGGAAGCCAATGAGGCGGCCTGGGCTGCATTGCAACAAGGTGACACAGCCTTGGATGCTTTAGTAATAGGTTGCACAACCTGTGAGGAACAGCAGTGTGATGGTACCGTGGGCTATGGTGGTTCACCCGATGAAAACGGTGAGACTACTTTGGATGCCATGCTAATAGATGGTTCAAATATGAATATTGGTGCAGTGGCTGCATTAAGACAAATAAAATCCGCCACCAAGGTAGCTAGAGTGGTTTTGGAACATACCAAACATACTCTGCTAGTAGGAGATGCTGCTAGTAATTTTGCCGAAATGATGGGTTTTCGTCGTGAGTCCTTGACCACCCCCAAATCAAAACAAATTTGGCAGGAATGGCGCGACAATCATTGTCAACCTAATTTTTGGTTAAATGTTATACCAGATGCTACTCAGCAATGTGGTCCCTATAAGCCTCATAACAGATGGCAAACGCAAGACTTAAATGAGCGTTATTCCTATAAAGTAGATCAATGGCATCACGATACTATAGGTATGATTGTAATAGATTCACAAGGTCATATCTATGCCGGCACTTCAACAAATGGCGCCAGTCATAAAATACCAGGACGTGTAGGAGATTCGCCTATACCCGGTGCCGGCGCCTATGCGGATAATGAGGTGGGTGCTGCTGTTGCCACAGGAGATGGTGATGTTATGATGCGCTTTTTACCTTCACTATTGGCAGTGGAATTTTTGCGTTCCGGTTTTACGCCTGAGGAAGCTGCTGCCAAAAGTATGTCGCGAATTGTTAGATATTATCCAGATTTTAGTGGTGGTTTAGTGGTAACAGATCGTTGGGGAAATTATTCAACAGCTTGTGTGGGTCTTGAAAGGTTTCCTTTTTCGGTGGCTTATGGTCAAACTAATACTAAAGTGGAATATAAGGAGTGCTTACAACAGAAAAAAGCTAAAAGAAGTGATTTGAAATGAAGTGATTAAAAAAATTTTAGAAAGCAAACATGAAATCATTTTAACTGTATCCCTGTTCATATATAGGAAATCTATTTTTGTTCACAATAAAAAACGTATTTAAAAAATGCATGATAAAAAAATGTAAAATTTTAATTCAATACTAAAAACTCATATTGCAACTAAAAATTCAATCAACAATAAAAAATTTTAAGATTTTTTGTCAAAGAATACTTTTTTCATAAAATTTGAAAATAATTCTTCGAATTTAAGATTAATTTTCCATTTAACAATATCAAAAAAATACTTTTACTTTAAAAATAACGGTTATTAATATATACAAACACCAATGAGAATAACGTTGTTCTCAATATTTGCTAAACATCCTAAATATTTGCAGTTTAAGAACATCTTTCCATTTTTACCCTAAATTTTAGTGCCTAAAACATAAATATTTTAAAATTTAACCGTTTTTAACATATACAAAAGCTATCCTCTATAAAAATACTGTAAAATAGCAACTCTGCTTTACTAAGCAATCTGGCAATACGATTTTGCAAAATTGCAACTCGCAATTTTTGTGGTATTTCGCGAAAAAGCATATCAAAGTAGAAAACGCAAAAAACGAAGCGAAGTACTGCTTTTGCTTCAAACACTTTGTGTTTGTAGCAAACACGAGATACGAAAAATACATTGCTGTTTGACAAACCAGAGTTTCCTAGATCATCAAACAAATGTATTTTAAATGGGACATCAAACAAAATCTGTTTGCAAATTCTTCTTTATTTGATCTGCTGTCATTTTGCATACATTTAGAGTTTGTAACAAACGTAGAATGTGTTCAGTTTGAAAAAATTATAAAATATATATTTTTAATTTTGTTATTGGAAATAACATAATTGTTTATTGAAAACATATTTAAGTGTAAATAATAAATATATAGATTGAGTTGGCCTGCTTGTGAGATCAAGAAGATTAAAAAATTTAAGTAATGATGTTAAATAATTAATTATTTGTCTCTTAAAAGAAAGAGGAGGCATCATGGTGGTTTCCTGGAAGAATGCCCACAAAAAGTGGCAATTATATACCTCCCTAGCAGGACATGCCAATGTTGAAATAAAATTTCAGTTAAAAAATTTCAAACATATATTGTTTTCAATGCGAAATGGCAGCTCTGCTTTACTAAGTAATCTGGCAATACGATTTTGCAAAAATGCAACTCTGCAATTTTTGTGGTATGCCGCGAAAAAGCATATCAAAGTAGAAAACGCAAAAAACGAAGCGCAGCGGCATAAAATTGTATTGTTAGCAAAAGAAGCGAGAAAAAAGAAAATTATTGCAAAGTCTTGACAAAATTGTAAAATAAATCTCAAAAAGATAAAATAAATAGAAAGTAATATAAAATAAACATATTTAAACACAATGCCTATACAGTTGGATAAAATTTTAGGCGATATAGCCAATGAAAAAGTATTGCATCCCAACTATCAGGGCGCCACAAAAAAAGAAATTGATGACGCCTGGACTAGAGTGGGAAAAAACAGTAATTTATCTGGTATGGAAAATAATGAACAAGACATCTTTTAAACTGAATTCTATTAATAACAATTGATTTTGCTTAAAATTTTATCTAGTGCATGAATCTCGTTCCATATTCAAAGTGTTGCAGAAAAAGTATGAACAAGAGAAATTGAAAGATTCCTCGGCCTGGAAGTTGTTTGGTCTAATGGATCAAATACACAAAAAAGTAGAGCCGAAAGTTGATGAAAAAGAAGAGTAAGTTTTTAAACAACAAACTAATGAAATAAATAAGTTTAAATGGGGTTTCATCTACTTTGAAGTGAGCCCAATGCACCGATGGAAGAAGACGAGGAGTACGAAATGCTGGAGGTGCAAGAAGATGAAGATAATGGACAAGCGGGTCATTCAGGTGAGTCTGCCTCAGAAGGTGAAAGTCCAGCAAAATCAAATTGTTCTACTGCATCGCCAGAAAAAGAAGATAAACCTGTTGCAAAAACCCTTAACCGTCAGCAGACTACTCCTACCAGTAATGCTCATCATCAGCAGCAAGCCGATAAAACGCCCTCCACAAAATTGTTGAATACTTTAGCAGCTGCTGCCAATACCCCTAAAAGTAATACGAATATGGCTACGCCACAGACACCCTCAGCCACTGCAGCTGCCTTGCAAAAGAAAGGCATCACCATGAAAAAGACAACAGGCAATCAACAGGGTCGTTCATTAATAAATCAAAATCTTAAACAACAACAAGCTAAAATAACTGGTAAGTTTTTCTAAAATTATACTTTTATCACTGAAAATAATTTAAAAAAAAAAAATCATAATTTCCCAAAAAATATGTATTTTTCTTAATTATTTCAAAATTCTTTTATAAATTGGTATTTTGCTATAAGTTTAAATATTCATGAAATTTGTGGGAACGAAAAATTCCACGATTTTTATTAAAAGCCGATTTCCCCCAAAATTTTTGCTAAAATTTAAATTTTTTCCTAAAAAATTTTTTTAAACTATTTTTTTTTTTAATAAATTAGGACGTACCGCTGCTAATGCTGGTGCCATGCATGGTTTAGAAGTTGGAAAAACTATACAATTGCCCGATTCATTGAAACGTAAATTATCAGAAGACCAACCTTCGACACCACAAACAAAGAGAGCAAATCAACAGAGTACACCACAATCATCGTCGAACAGTGCTTCACCTTCAGCTAAATCAGCTTCGCCACACCGACAACAGCACACCACCACAGCTCAACTTTTGCAACTTAAACAAGATCGCAATGATCAGCAGCAATCTACAAATGTCACAAATGCCACCAACACCTCGGGCATTAATCTTATCACCATACCAGCTAATCCCACGGCTACCGGCCTAGTTAATGGTCTCATTTCCTCGGGTGGAGGTGGCCCCTCATCATCAACCGCTGCCACAGTAGCTTCGACTGCTTCTACTAATGGGTTTTCACCTCGTATTGAAGAGATAGATTTTCGCAATGATATTATATTTGATGCCAATAGTGGTGTCAACGGCACTGCCCTAGCTGGCAAGGTTGCCAATTCTTCAGAGATAATCAATCTGGGCAATTTCGATAATTCTTTGCCGCCCACATTCTTTAAAAATCTTTGCAATTCTTCACGTCATGAAGCTTTGGGTTTGTATGTTGCAAACGTAATGAATCGTTTACGCCCTCGTTCGGCGGCCAAATTAGAAGTTGGTATTCTAAGAGCTATTTTAGATATACAGAGCGAAGAATTGGAACAGTAGTTTGCTTCTTAAGAGTAACCCTAGTAATAGTTCAGTAATTATACGAAACATTTTAAAAACTTGCAACAACACTTTATCCGTATTAGTTTTCTATTCAACAAAATTTTGTCCGCTTTTTTTATTTTTGTGTTTATGTTTTAATACTTATAATTCCATTTTATTTAAATTATTTTCAAAAGTTAATTAACCTTATAACGGTAAAAATTAATAAAAAAAAACAAAAAAGTTATACAAAACCATTTAGTTATTAAGCTAAAAGTTTTTTTTTAATAAAAATTTTTCTGACTTGATTGGATTTCAATGATTAATGAGGTGTTTTTTTTTTTTTTAACATAAAAGGTATTTATTTTAAAATTGGGATATTTCATCCTTAATTTAATGTTTAACTAATTTTTAAATTTTTCTCTAAAAATCCAACACCAAATGCAATACTTTATATAACTCAGTCTTTTGACAGTTTTCTCCTTCCTCCTTGTTCTTATATTGACAATTGTCAATTAGTTCGCGCGGTTTTCTTTACAATCGGTATTAATTTCGTGAGTGTAAAGTTTTTATTGAAAAATTAATATTATAAATTGTTAAACAATTGTGAAAAGTGTTTAAATGTAAACTTTGATAGTCATTTATAAAGGGCGTTATGAAGGTTTTTAAAAAATTACTTTATTTATAATTGAAATTTGTTAAGTAAAAATAGCGTAATCCTATGGCACTCAACAGGCAATCAGTTGTGTAGTTTATAGTAATAGCAGTGGTCGGAAGAGTGTATGTAACGAAATTTAGTTTGTTAATTATTAGATTTAAATAAATCTTTACAAATTCTTTGAAGAATTTGCTTTAATATGTAAATACCAACATACTTTAAGGCACCTGTTTCATAACATGTCGTTAGTGGCACATTAGGTTGTCATCATATTAACAAATTTGTACTTGTTATTTAAAAGTGTAGTCGTGTTTATATTTATTTGTTATTTTTTGGAGAATAAAGCAGGATTCTCTAATTTTCATAAAAAGTTTACGAAATACTACATTTTACATTTTATTGTTGTTGCAGTTTTTTGTTTTTGCATTTATACATTATATAATTCTGCTTTAATAGATTTTGACAGTTTTTCCCTTCCTCCTTATTCTTATAAGTAAATGTAACATCTCTATCATTTGAATTGTCAATTAGTTCGCGCGGTTTTCTTCACAATCGGTATTAATTTCGTGAGTGTAAAGTTTTTCTTGAAAAATTAACATTACAAATTGTTTAACAATTGTAAAAAGTGTTTAATTGTAAACTTTGATTGTCATTTATATAGGGCGATATGAAGGTTTTTCAAAAATGACTTTATTTATGATTGAAATTTGTTAAGTAAAATTGGCGTCGTCCTGTAGCACTCAACAGGCAACCAGTTGTGTAGTGTATACATATAGCATTGGACGGAAGAGTGTATGTAACGAAATTTAGTTTGTTAATTATTAGATTTAAATAAATCTTTATAAATTCTTTAAAGAATTTGCTTTAATATGTAAATACCAACATACTTTAAGGCACCTGTTTGATTGCATGTAGTATGTGGCACATTAGGGTGGCAGCAGACTTACAAATTTGTACTTTTTAATTAAAAGTGTAGTAGTGTTTATATTTCTTTGTTATTTTTTGGAAATACTACTACGAAATACTACATTTTACATTTTATCGTTGTTGCAGTTTTTTTTGTTTGCATTTATACATTACATATATAATTCTGTTTTAATAGCCTTTGACAGTTTTTCCCTTCCTCCTTATTCTTATAAGTAAATGTAACATCTCTATCATTTGAATTGTCAATTAGTTCGCGCGGTTTTCTTCACAATCGGTATTAATTTCGTGAGTGCAAAGTTTTTCTTGAAAAATTAACATTACAAATTGTTTAACAATTGTAAAAAGTGTTTAATTGTAAACTTTGATTGCCATTTATATAGGGCGATATGAAGGTTTTTAAAAAATTACTTTATTTATAATTGAAATTTGTTAAGTAAAAATAGCGTCATCCAATGGCACTCAACAGGCAGTCAGTTGTGTAGTTTATAGTAATAGCATTGGACGGAAGAGTGTATGTAATGAAATTTGGCTTAATAATTGTTCGATTTAAATAAATCTTTATAAATTCTTTGAAGAATTTGCTTTAATATGTAAATACCAACATACTTTAAGGCACCTGTTTCATAACATGTCGTTAATGGCACATTAGGTTGTCATCATATTAACAAATTTGTACTTGTTATTTAAAAGTGTAGTCGTGTTTATATTTATTTGTTATTTTTTGGAGAATAAAGCAGGATTCTCTAATTTTCATAAAAAGTTTACGAAATACTACATTTTACATTTTATTGTTGTTGCAGTTTTTTGTTTTTGCATTTATACATTATATAATTCTGCTTTAATAGATTTTGACAGTTTTTCCCTTCCTCCTTATTCTTATAAGTAAATGTAACATCTCTATCACTTCAAATGTCAATTAGTTCGCGCGGTTTTCTTCACAATCGGTATTAATTTCGTGAGTGCAAAGTTTTTCTTAAAAAATTAACATTACAAATTGTTTAACAATTGTAAAAAGTGTTTAATTGTAAACTTTGATTGCCATTTATATAGGGCGATATGAAGGTTTTTCAAAAATGACTTTATTTATAATTGAAATTTGTTAAGAAAAAATAGCGTCATCCTATGGCACTCAACAGGCAGTCAGTTGTGTAGTTTATAGTAATAGCAGTGGTCGGAAGAGTGTATTTAACGAAATTTAGTTTGTTAATTATTAGATTTAAATAAATCTTTACAAATTCTTTGAAGAATTTGCTTTAATATGTAATTACCAACATACTTTAAGGCACTTGTTTCATAGCATGTCGTTAGTGGCACATTAGGTTGGCATCATATTAACAAATTTGTACTTGTTATTTAAAAGTGTAGTCGTGTTTATATTTATATATTATTTTTTGGAGAATAAAGCAAGTTTCTCTAATTATCATAATAAGTTTACGAAAAACTACATTTTATTGTTGTTGCAGTTTTTTTTGTTTGCATTTATACATTACATATATAATTCTGCTTTAATAGCCTTTGACAGTTTTTCCCTTCCTCCTTATTCTTATAAGTAAATGTAACATCTCTATCATTTGAATTGTCAATTAGTTCGCGCGGTTTTCTTCACAATCGGTATTAATTTCGTGTGTGCAAAGTTTTTCTTGAAAAATTAACATTACAAATTGTTTAACAATTGTAAAAAGTGTTTAATTGTAAACTTTGATTGTCATTTATATAGGGCGATATGAAGGTTTTTAAAAAATGACTTTATTTATAATTGAAATTTGTTAAGTAAAATTGGTGTCGTCCTATGGCACTCAACAGGCAACCAGTTGTGTAGTTTATACATATAGCACTGGTCGGAAGAGTGTATGTAACGAAATTTTGTTTGTTAATTGTTAGCTTTAAATAAATCTTTATAAATTCTTTGAAGAATTTGCTTTAATGTGTAAATTCCTGCATACTTTAAGGCACCTGTTTGATAGCATGTCGTTAGTGGCACATTAGGTTGGCATCATATTAACAAATTTGTACTTGTTATTTAAAAGTGTAGTCGTGTTTATATTTATTTGTTATTTTTTGGAGAATAAAGCAGGATTCTCTAATTTTCATAAAAAGTTTACGAAATACTAAATTCTACATTTAATTGTTACAGTTTTTTGTTTTTGCATTTATACTTTATATAATTCTGCTTTAATAGCTTTTGACAGTTTTCCCCTTCCACCTTATTCTTATAAGTTAAACATCTCTATCACTTGAATTGTCAATTAGTTCGCGCGGTTTTCATCACAATCGGTATTAATTTCGTGAGTGCAAAGTTTTTCTTGAAAAATTAACATTACAAATTGTTTAACAATTGTAAAAAGTGTTTAATTGTAAACTTTGATTGCCATTTATATAGGGGGATATGAAGGTTTTTCAAAAATGACTTTATTTATAATTGAAATTTATTAAGAAAAAATAGCGTCATCCTGTGGCACTCAACAGGCAGTCAGTTGTGTAGTTTATAGTAATAGCAGTGGTCGGAAGAGTGTATGTAACGAAATTTTGTTTGTTAATTATAAGATTTAAATAATTCTTTATAAATTCTTTGAAGAATTTGCTTTAATATGTAAATACCAACATACTTTAAAGCACCTGTTTGATAGCATGTCGTTAGTGGCACATTAGGTTGGCATCATATTAACAAATTTGTACTTGTTATTTAAAAGTGTAGTCGTGTTTATATTTATTTGTTATTTTTGGAGAATAAAGCAGGATTCTCTAATTTTCATAAAAAGTTTACGAAATACTACATTTTACATTTTATTGTTGTTGCAGTTTTTTGTTTTTGCATTTATACATTATATAATTCTGCTTTAATAGATTTTGACAGTTTTTCACTTCCTCCTTATTCTTATAAGTAAATGTAACATCTCTATCATTTGAATTGTCAATTAGTTCGCGCGGTTTTCTTCACAATCGGTATTAATTTCGTGAGTGTAAAGTTTTTCTTGAAAAATTAACATTACAAATTGTTTAACAATTGTAAAAAGTGTTTAATTGTAAACATTGATAGTCATTTATAAAGGGTGTTATGAAGGTTTTTAAAAAATTACTTTATTTATAATTGAAATTTGTTAAGAAAAAATAGCGTCATCCTATGGCACTCAACAGGCAGTCAGTTGTGTAGTTTATAGTAATAGCATTGGACGGAAGAGTGTATGTAACGAAATTTAGTTTGTTAATTATTAGATTTAAATAAATCTTTATAAATTCTTTAAAGAATTTGCTTTAATATGTAAATACCAACATACTTTAAGGCACCTGTTTGATTGCATGTAGTATGTGGCACATTAGGGTGGCAGCAGATTAACATATTCGTACTCGTTGATTAAAAGCGTAGTCGTGATTTTTCAAAAATTACTTTATTTATAATTGAAATTTATTAAGGAAAAATAGCATCATCCTGTGGCACTCAACAGGCAGTCAGTTGTGTGGTTTAAGTAATAGCAGTGGACGGAAGAGTGTATGTTATGAAATTTGTTTTGTTAATTGTTAGATTTAAATAAATCTTTATAAATTTTTTGAAGAATTTGCTTTAATATGTAAATCTTAACATATTTTAAGGTACCTGTTTGATTGCATGTGTTATGTGGGCCATTAGGCTGGCAGCAGATTAACAAGTTTGTACTTGTTAATTAAAAGTGTAGTCGTTCTTTGTTATTTATGTAGAATAAAACAGTTTTCTCTAATTTTCATAAAAAGTATACGAAATACTAAATTTGACATTTTATTGTTGCAGTTTTTTGTTTTTGCTTTTTTTAGCAAATCTTAATAACAACCCCGTAATAATAATTACCAGTGCCTTTATATAACTCTGTTTTAATAGCTTTTGACAGTTTTAATTCTGTTTTCTTATTGTCATTAAATAACTCACTTTTTCCTTATAATTGGTATTCATTTAGTGAGTGGTGAGTTTATATTAGCAATTTATAATATTAAATTTAAATAAAGTTTAAATATCATTAATAAAGTGCTTTATAAATGCTTTTCAAAAATAACTCTATTTATAACGGAATTTTTAAGTTGAAATACTTCATGTATTAAAAACAGCCCTCTTATAGTTAGTAACATTCTCATTAAATAACTCTGTCTTAATCGCTTTTGACAGTTTTTCCCATCCTTCTTATTCTTATAAGCAAATGTAACATCTCTAACACTTCAATTGTCAAATAGTTCGCGCGGTTTTCTTTACAATCGGTATTAATTTCGTGAGTGTAAAGTTTTTATTGAAAAATTAACATTACAGAGTGTTAAACAATTGTAAAAAGTGTTTAATTGTAAACTTTGATTGTCATTTATATAGGGCGTTATGAAGGTTTTTCAAAAATTACTTTATCTATAATTGAAATTTGTTAAGTTAAAAAAGCGTCATCCTGTGCCACTCAACAGGCAGTCAGTTGTGTAGTTTATAGTAATAGCAGTGGTTGGATGAGTGTATGTAACGGAATTTCTTTTGTTTATTGTTAAAATTAAAGTAATCTTTATAAGTTCTTTGAAGGATTTGCTTTAATATGTAAACCATAACATATTTTAAAGTACCTGTTGGTATGCATGTATAATGCAGCACATTAGGGTGGTGTCATTTGAAGAGAGCAAAAACATGGTATGGGTTTTACTAAGTATTTCGAGAGTTTAGCTTGTTTAAAGGAAACTTGTATTATCAATTGTTGTTTAGCAGTGTATTTAAATAAAAGTATACCTATTTTGAATATTATTATTTTTCTTCTCAAACAACAATATGATTTTAAATATTTTTACACCTTAAAATAGAGTCTTTCTTTTCTTTATTGTTAAAATTAAAGTAGTCTTTATAAGTTCTTTGAAGAATTTGCTTTAATATGTAAACCATAACATATTTTTAAGTACCTGTTGGTATGCATGTATAATGCAGCACATTAGGGTGGTGTCATTTGAAGAGAGCAAAAAAATGGTATGGGTTTTACTAAGTATTTCGAGAGTTTAGCTTGTTTAAAGGAAATTATTGTTTAGTAGTGTATTTTAATAAAAGTATACCTATTTTGAATATTATTATTTTTCTTCTCAAACAACAATATTTATTCATTAATTTTAACTTTGATAATCATGTTTATTTTTCAAAAAAATTTATTTTGCGTTCAATATATAAAAAAAAAAATATTGTTATATGTATGTAAATGAAAATTGTGTGTTTAAATATTTTCACACCTTAAAATAAAGTCAACTTTTATTTAAGTTAAAAACTTTCATAACTTTATTTTTTGGTGCCAACCTAATGTGCTCCAGTACTTGTTGCAGTTATTGCAATTTATTTTAAGTTATTAACATCTCTGTTTTATTTATATGCATTATTCCTTTTCCCGTCTTTTTCTTATCAGCAACAAACGTCTCTGTTCCTTTAAACAGCTCTGTGTTTCGACATGCCTGCTTTATTCGATTTTGCATTCTTCCTTTTCCGTCATTATCTTATAAAACGTAACAACTCTGTCGCTTTAATGACAGTTTCTTCTCTTTCCGTTCAAATTGAATAACAACTCTGTTTAAACAATTCAAATTTTAACTAGTGAATTTCCTATTAGACAATTTCCGTTTCTGTTTAAGTTAAGTATAGTTTAGCAAAGTCTACAATCATTCAGTATATTTCTTTTAGGGTTATATAGTCAAAACAAAAAGTCAATTCAATTTATGAAAACTCGACTCGATATCGCCACAACTATATTCGTTATTCGCTCGATTATTCGATCATCAAAACGTGTAAATTTTTAAAAAAGTGTTAATTTAAATTTCAACATATCGTCGCTAATATGCTACAAATGTGTAAAGTTTTAAAAAATTTTAATTCCCAAAAAAAAAAAAAAAAAAAAACACAAAATGTGTTTTAATATGGCCTGTTTAAAATTGGATATATTCCAAATATATAAAGAAATAGTGAAATTATGCAAAAAAAAAAAAAAATGGGAAAATAAAAAAAAAAAAAAATTAAAATTTCTGTAAATAAATGTTTTAATGTAAAATCTGTTAAATTTCTCAGCTTAAATTATAAAAAAGTAAAAAGTGCAGTTTTTATAAAAGTGTCTAAAATCCCAATTAAATTAAAACACTAAATGTGTTTTTATATGGCCTGTTTAAAAAATTGGAATTATTCCTAAATTTGATAAAAAAAATCAAAGAAAATTGGGTATAAAAATTAAAAGTTAAGTGATAATTTTAGTTAGAAAAAAGTTACAAAAAATGATAATCAATCGATCGCTATATAATTTCAAGACATTAAGGTAAGATTTTTTATTATTTTTCTTTGTAGATTTTTTAAATATGAGATATTTAAAAATTTTATACAGTATTTTGGTGAGAAATGAAATACTTAGTCTAAGTCATATATACTAGTCTATATTATATAGACTGAACTATAATCAAGAACCTAGCTATAGTCTAGAATATTCAATAGTCACTGTTCTATAGTCAAGACTATATATTGATCTGTAGTCAAGACTATAGACTGTTCTATAGTCAAGACTTTAGACTGTTCTATAGTCAAGACTATGGACTGTGCTATAGTCAAGGCTATACACTGTTCTATAGTCAAGACTATAGATTGTCCTATAGTCAAGACTATATACTGATCTATAGTCAAGACTGTATTGATCTTTGGTCAAGACTGTATTGATCTTTAGTCAACACTTTAGACTGATCTATAGTCAAGACTGTAAACTGATCTATAGTCAAGACTGTAGACTGATTTTCGCTATAAATTTTCAGATTTCAATATAAATCTTTCTTTTGATATAAATAAATAAAAAAAACTTACCACTAGTTTCTTCAAATTGTCCCTTTTCCAGATTCCACTCATAAATAGTTGCATTTTCATCTTTTGCATTAAAGACAATCAAAATATCCACAATTTTCGAATCAAACTCAAGACTTAAAGTAAAACTTCCTCTGATTGAATCTCTATAGTCTGTATGACATCAAAATGATCCAATTTATAAACATGATCTAACAAAATTAAATAAATTATGATGAAAATAAAAAGTAGTAATTAAATAACTTACTTTTTGTAATATTTTTTAAATACTCCTTTACTTTAATGAAATCCTCAATATTTTCTCGATTTTCCATATAATTTCTACTTATTTGTCTCTGCTCATTGATATCCCGTTTCAGCCATTGATTTTGTGTTAGAAAACCTTCAGGACCTTCATATTTTTCCACCTTTAAAGGATGATTAAACACTAAATGGCTTTTAATCTCACTAGTTGTTGAGGCCGGCACAAGATTTTCTATAAATTCTGTTATATACTGACGATTTATAAAGTCAGCATATAAATTTTCTATATTATTAGTGAGAAAACGTTTTTCGGCTGCCAAATGGCTAACAATTTTCATATGGCCTGGTATATGTTGTTCAATATTTTGCAGTAGTAGATAGTTTTCATTAAAAGTAATATTATTTAATTTTCCTAAAACCATTAAATTGTTGTAAACATTTAGGGAATCTATAGTGGTTACTCCTCTGATAGTGTAATTTTCGTATAGATATACAGCTTCTTTAATCCAATTTGCTATGGGAACTTTATTAACATAACTGGAAGGATCAGCATAAAGATTTTCTATATAAGCATTTTTAAAGGTTTTGGTGGCTTTTAATTGATAAGCTTGCACAGGTTTTACTGTATGCACTATGTCATCTACTAGATTCAAGTGATTGATTAATACACCATTCAGATTTCCTTGTACTATAGCTTCTAGTAGGGACCAATTGCCGGAGATTATGTGAGGTCCTGAAGTTTTTTAAAGTGTTTTGCACAAATTCATTAAAATTTAAATGTTGTTTGCTGTTTTTTTGGAAATTAAAGTAATAAAAAATATTTAAATTATTTATTTAATACATTTTTAATATGGCAATGCTGTTTTGTTAAGAAAAAAAAACATGTCTGGTAAACCTATAAAAGTTAAAAACTGATGTGGCATCTCTTTTTTTCTCAGTTTTCTTTTGTTACTCATTTTGTAAATATTGTGTAGCTTGTTGTGGTCTGATTTTAACTGTTTTTCCTAAGGAAATTGCAAGATTTCTTTTTATTTTGCATATATTTGTAGAATATTAATTACAAGGTATATTTCTACTTTTAAAAAGTTAAAGAATTATGTTAATTTAAAAGATAAATTGAATAATTTAACGTGTTAAACTTTTGGTTTTGTTAACATTGATCAGCTGTTTATCATGGCGAGCCAGTGACTCCAAAACAGTAATTGTTAAAAGTAAATTTAATAAAAATTCACAAATTTTGAGATTTATCATAACTGAAAGACCATAGTACCTCTCTCACTAGACTATAGATAGGGCTATAGAAAAGTATATATATAATATACTAGACTGTAGACTATACTATTGACTAGAGTATAGACTCGATTATTTGCTAGACTGTAGACAATACAATGGAATAGACATCAGACTACTCTATAGGTATTGTATTGACTATATGTGCTTTTGTAGGAACGAAAGTTTAAAAACTAGTTTCAACATTTATGATTTGCAAATAATATTCTCACCTTTCTCCCTCTATTAGTGGACCGAATACCTGAAGCTCATTAACATTTAACACGCCCTCACATTCAGCTCCCTCGGAAAACACCATGTCGACAGAAACTTCTTGTGGCTTAGATTTACTAAAGTAGTTTTCTTTTAAATAATCCAAATTCATATTATTAATGGGACCCTTTAAAGAAAAATATACTACCTTAACAACTGGAAAAGGAAAATTTTGTTCATAGGACTTACCTCAAATTCCAATAGACCGTCAAAATAAGCATCAACTATTTCAATATGATGAGGTAAAACTACATTCTCATTGGCCAGCCAAACGGAATCCAAAGTCTTTCTTATATAATGACTATTTAAAGTTTTATACAGAGGAGCAGTTTGAGCAAAATAAGCCTGCTGTACATATAAAGAATCACCATGAGGATTATACAAAAAGTCTTGTAATTCGCAGATATTTATATCGTTAACAGAAGTTAAATTGTTAATATTGCCTTCAACTATGAAATTATCATCAACTGTTAGGGATTGCAGAATAATGGGGGAATCTTTCGCTTGTTTATAGAGTACATCCTGGGGCACCAAATAGTTGTTAAGGGTTTGGGTGGTTAAAGAACCCGTTATTTCGATAGGATTTTCTTGGGAAATATAAGTTGAATAGTGACTTTGTACGTATTAGTATTGAAAATGAAATACTTACCAAAATTTACATTTTCTATATATTCATCACGATTTATCCAATAAGTTTTGGCATAGAAATCATCCATTGTAAAACCATTTAATTTACCCAATAATTGTACTCCCTCTTCAGCATTTATCTCGGCTATAGATTGGACTGCTGTAAACACTTGCTTTTCCCCAGTTTTTTGCAACCAGCATTTACCAAATTCCTGAGCTGTAATATCATTTAATTTACCTTGGAACGTCATATTTGTAACATTCATGGCATAATTAAATTTGAAATTTCCAACATATTTTATATTGCCCTCTAATTGTAACAGTTGATTTTCAATTCCTTCAACTTTTTTATTATTAATAGTGGTATTTAGTATAAGATTTTGTACATAAATGGAACCGTGAATTTGCGATTTCTTTGGAATAAATCTTCTTGCGGAGCATTGCGAGATTTTTGTTGATATATGTCCTGTAAGTGTTGATTAAATATTTTGCCATCGGTATTTAAATGTTCCACGGTTAGATGTTTGGTTTTGAGATTGTCGATGATTAGGTTCGCCTGTATAGTTTGATTGCCAGTTAGGGTTAAGTAATCGGTGTAGTTATTAGAGTTTAAAAGTACCGTAGGACTTTTAATGCTGTTAATGTAAAGTTTTAATTATTTATTTAGACAGACAGACAGACAGATAGATAGATAGATAGATAGATAGATAGATAGATAGATAGATAGATAGATAGATAGATAGATAGATAGATAGATATATAGATATATAGATAGATAGATAGATAGATAGATAGATAGATAGATAGATAGATAGAAAGATAGATAGAATTGCCAATCTGCTTACTTTTTCGCTGAAATTTTACCAATTTTCATGGGTACCGTTATAGTTTGATTGTTATTCTTTAGAAATGCATTTCTTTTCCAATTTCTCCATATCGACACCATTGAGATTTTTTACCTCACTAAAACCTCTACTTATTTCCAAAGAGTCCTTAAACAATTTTGTACCCTCTATTATTTGTATATCATCTTGATTGAGTTTAACCAAACGCTGCAAATTCATGTTGATAACAAAACTAACTAAAGAGTTATTAGCCCTCAAAGGTTGCAGAAACCTAAGATTAACATCTTTTAAACTTTTATCCATACGTATACCCATATCCAGGACCTGTTTAGCGGATAGTTTTTCTTTTAAATCTATAAGATCCAAAGTGTTTAATTGGTGATTAATATTAACATCACCATTAATCATAAAGTTGCCCTGTAATATCAACTCATCATGTATGAATTTGTTGGGGGATATGGCCTCTAGTTGGCGGCCCATCATTTTGCCCTGTTTAAGTACAAAAATATATTAAGAGATTAAAAATTTATTTTTTTTCTAACTACTTTTTTACTTACCGCTATTGTTATGGGCTCTAGAACCTTGATATTGGTTACATTTTTCATGCCTTCTATCACTTGCGTTTTATTGGATTTTTTCAATAAAACATCAAAATGTCCTTGAAAAACATGCAAATTATTTAATCTTTGTGATATTTCCACACGATTTGCAGTTATTGGTGCGGCAAATTGTATATCTTGATTTATAACATATCTGCCCGTATTAATAGGTATAAGCGCTCCCAGATTTTGTTCATTTATTTTATCATTATTCACTAGCAAAGTATCGGTTTTTAAATTTCTAATTTGTACTGGCGCTTTAAGGAATTGTATTTCCTGTTTACGTTTCAAAGTATTATTCAGTAAGTCTGACCATTGATATTCATTAAGTTTTCCGGTAATCTGTAGATTTCTTATGGTCATGAATTCATCTTCATCTCTATAATCTAAACTTTCTGCAGGATTAACTCTTTCTGGTGGGGTTGGCTGTATTTGTCGCTAACTATGACTTTAGAAGCTTTGATTGTATCAAATTCTGGTTTTTCGGTATTTTTTATTAACTCTTTTAGCCTTAAGCAATTTATTAACATTTAAATTGTTAACATTTAAGGTGTCATAAATGTATTCCAAATTTTCATTCGAGGTTTCACGTTTTAAACGTTGCTTTTGTTTAAGCATTATTTCTAAAGCATCTAAAGCTTGATTAACATAATTTAAGGCCGTCCAATAATTGTCAGACATTTTTAATTTGGGATAAACCAACTACAAAGAAGAGAAAGTAAAATTCTTGTATTCTTGTTACTAATTTAAGACCATTATTACCGATTCTGTAATAACAGTTTGTATATTGGCTTCGGCTATATCCTGCATTTTTGGCTTATATTTTAATTGTTCCAAGTTTTTTAGTTTTTCCTGTAAATATGATTTATAATTATTAACATTCCTAGAGCTAAATTGTATTCCTTACCTCCACTCGTTTGCTTAGTTCCTTCGTATTTACAGTTTGCAAACGTTGAGTTTCTGCTTTGGCCCAATCGATTATCTGTTGTCTTAAGGCATTGGCATCCTCTTCTTGTTTGAATATGGGCAAAAATATGTTGGTTTCATTGTCGGCCATTAGTTCATTGGCGATTATTAAATAACTTTTCTCATTCTCTTGATAAATACGCATATTTGCTACGCCCTTGCCTAAGGCTCCCTCAGTAAATTGTACTTTTGATTCTTCAAATTTCCAATCGTTTAAATTGTAAATTTTAATATCTTGATCTGTACAGGCCACCAATAAGATAAACTTTTCTGCCTCTATATTCTACAAAAAATATTACATATTTTTAGCAAATAGTCTATTCTATCCAATACTCAAGTTTATAGTCTAGTCTAGTCTATAGTCTAATCTATAGTCTAGTTTATAATTTTACTAACCTGCACTGGTAAAAATTTCTTTACTGCATACAAGGACAACTTCTGATAGGGAATAAATTGTCCCTTATCGAATAGATAAAACACCGAATCTGCTTCCAAGTTTTTACCCTCTCTTTTAGCCTTTTCTCTCTTCGCCAGCGAAGCCGTACTTATCGAATTGCCGAAAACCAAAAAATGTTGTCTTCTCACCTCATTGTTAGGTACACTACAGTATTGTACATCTACCGCACCATTTGTTCTAATCTTTTGAAATAAAATAAACTTTTTCTTATCGCGAGAATATTTATAAATCTCTGAATTTGTAGAGGTGCGTCCCCTTTGATCGGCATAATTTGCAACGGCCACATAGCTTTCGTAGTCTATGGAAAAAGGAGCCAGTTGTCGGGCATTACTGCAGGGTATACGACCCATTTTATTGAACGTACTACCGGACCATTGGAAGTAGGGACAATGCAGATTAGGGGTATCTTGGGAATTACTATAGGTGTGTAGAAGAAAGAATTCATTGCCACTGGCACGCAGATAGACTGACATGAGGTTGGGAGCGGGAAAATATTGTACAGCCCTTAAACGATTGCCTGCAATCTCGTAAATCGGTGAACCTTCTTTGGCATACTTAACCGGTTCGGTAAGGTTTAAAGCCAAGGCCACATAACCTTTATTATTGAAGTTAATGCAATCCATCGCAATGCCCTTAGGAGCCTCTATATCGGCTATTAATTCATAAGAACCATTCTGAAAAAAGGAAATATCTTGCAAGTTAAGTAAATCAAGAGATTTTTGTTTAAAAATCTACCTTCATTTTAAGAACTTCCAAGTGTCTAGCACCATTTCTTTTCATATGCAAAGCGGTGGCATATTTCTCACCTTCCAAATTGAAAACACATATATCAATGGGAAATAGCACTGGTATTGATTCGATCTTTTCAAAACCATTTAAAGAAAATGAAGCTGCAAATAGTTGATTAATTTCTTAACTGGGGTTTTCATATGTATTTTAGCAATATGGTTGATCAATTGGAGTTATATAAAGACTGCATTACCAAACAGCTGGAAGAGGTGGATATGTTATCCTCTATTTATTGCTCACCCGGAGAAATGCACATCTTTGATCCCGGTGTTATTAGTGATTTCAATGAATTTTTACAACAGCCTAGTGATGAAAACTTAAGCAATCTGTTAAAGTCCCAATTGGACTATAGTATCAAACTGGATTTACATACTCCTAAAGGAAAAACTAACTTAGAAGTGCGCATTGAACTGCCACATTTATATCCCATATTAGAAAATGCCCTTGTTATAGTGCATACCACGTTGTTGAGTAAAAACAAGGAATCGTATTTCAAAAATGAAATTGAAAATTTCATTAATACTATGGATAAGTCCGAAACATATATATTCCAGGTATTAAGCTGGATCCAAGAAGAAATACAAGTATTAATGGAACGTGACGCCCAGTGAATTTGAAAACTAATGATGTAAATGTGGAAATTAATGCTGAAGAAGAATTGGTGGATTTTGAAAGATTGTGGATCTATTCGCATCACATTAAGTCCAAAACAAAACGACAGGAGATAGTTAAACAATCGCGTAATTTGGATTTGACTAGTTTTATGCGGCCAGGAAAACCGGGCATTATATGTGTGGAAGGTTTAAAGGAGTGTACTCAGGAATTTTGGCGCATTATTAAGAGCATGAATTGGCAGAAGATATTCATATGTACCATCGAGTCTAAGCGAAAACCCAGAGTAAAAATGGATGAATTAAGAAGATTTACCGGTTTCAAAGAGCAATTGTTTTGTGATGATATGGAAAATGAAGAAGGTGTTATGAATATGGGTTTATTTTTAAAATACTTGGAATTACACAAATCGGGTTATATGAAAAAGGAGCTGTTTGGTTTGAAATAACACATAAGAAGATCTAAATACATACTATGGAATAATTTTGATATTACTAATGTACTCTCAAATAATACAGTTTAAAGTTCTTGTACAAATTATTATTTAATTGTTTATTGAATTCATAAAGAACCAACGATTGTTTATATCTATTTAAAAAAAATCTAAATATTTTGTTATATTTTTATAAAAATAAACTTGTTTTCTTAATACTACTTAAATATTTCTTTAATTTATCGTTTCTCACTTACCTTTATCAAAATATGAGGTTGATTCTCTTTTATGGATTTGTGTATTAAAAGGTTCTGCTTGTAAATTATAATTGTAATGAAAATTTACATTAAATGTTTTTAAAGATTTTATATTTATTAAAATTATTATCACACATAAAAATCCACGGTATTGGTAATACATTTTATGTTTTAGCAATTGACAATTCTCCACACTTTTATACTTTTCTATACAACTTGAGTTTGTGTCCCTTTCATTACTGATTTGTTAAATCAAATTTTGTTCATTTCATTAGTTAGTTAAACAAATTATAACTGTTCATTCATAATTTTTTTTATAGTAAAATTCCAATACATCTTTTGCATTCATACATATTGACTTATATATTCCAATAATGTATTAAGGGGATTCGGCACTTTTTTATAAACAACTATTAAATAAGAGATCGATATTTTTAAGAGAACTCTGTCATAAAGCAGACTGTGAGAACAGCACTAGAACAGAACTAGAACAGAACTAGAACAGAACTAGAACAGAACTAGAACAGAACTAGAACAGAACTAGAACAGAACTAGAACAGAACTAGAACAGAACTAGAACAGAACTAGAACAGAACTAGAACAGAACTAGAACAGAACTAGAACAGAACTAGAACAGAACTAGAACAGAACTAGAACAGAACTAGAACAGAACTAGAACAGAACTAGAACAGAACTAGAACAGAACTAGAACAGAACTAGAACAGAACTAGAACAGAACTAGAACAGAACAAAACGAACTAGAACAAA